TTATTTTTCCGAGTTGCAGGGGAAAAATTATCAAATCAATGTTAAACATTTTTATTCTGGTCACAACCAGGCTGTCACCGTTCAAAATTAGGATAACTCGTATACATATGGAATCGCAAGCCATGAAAACGGCGGGGAGATATTAATTTTAATTTTAATTTTACTCTTTGTGACTTCCACTCCCCTCTTCCATGTAGTCTCCCAACAGCCACAACAGACATATCGCTCTTCACTTTTCGTACTTCTTAAGTTCGCTCCACCTTGTTCCAGGTTTTATGAACGTCGATGAGACTAAAAGCTGCATTAAAGTTTATAGATATTATTTTTCCGTTACAGCCCACTTGTAAAATTTTAGTGAAGTTTTTTATTTTACAAGTCCGCTTCATTTTTATATCACTGCTTCTATGAATCCGTTCAACAGTGGAAGAATACAAAGTGGACGTCCCTACCATTAAAAAGAATGAGAACTGCTTTGTTGTTCTAATAAGTAAATCATTTCATATCATTTAGGCTCAAGATCACGGTATACCTCCACGCTCCACCAATATGACGCTTGTACTGCATGTATCTGACTTCAACGATAATGCTCCTATTTTTGAAACTAAAAGATACGAGGCTGAGGTGAGAACGAAGTCGCTCCGAAACATTACAAATATTTAACTTCAATGACGTCTTGTCAACAAAACTTTGTAGGTGCCCGAAAATTCACCGCTGATGACTCTTGTGCTCAAGGTGAAGGCTAGAGACGAGGACTCAAGAGAAAACGGCAGGATATCGTACAGAATTACAAATGGATCCAGTGTGATTATTTACTTTTATAAGTTCTCTTAAAACTTTTTACGAAATGAAGGAAAGTTGTAGAAGACAAAATTCGAACTTTTTCAGGCTTTTGGTATTGATGAAAAGACAGGTGTCATCTATGTTAATGAGAACATTGATCGAGAAGTGAGAAGTGTTTACGACATTACCGTAACCGCGCAAGATCAAGGAAAGGTAAGTGTGTGCAAATTTCGTCTAACTATTATTTTATGTCATTTTTCCACTTGTTGCAAAAGTGTTTTGCTACATAGTGTATTTAGCTCATGAACTTATTCTCAATAGACACTATCTTGACTATTTGGATTGTTTTTGCAAATAGTATATTTTTTGCTACTACTTCAGGTATTGAGGATAATTAATGTTTTGAAAAAGGTGGGATAAACCTAGCTTTGAGAGTAGATCCCTGATCGGCATTTGACTGGCGCACAAATATATATGCTCTAATTTTGCTCAAACAGTTAAAAGCACAGGACGTACAAGACTGAAAACTACAGAAAATTATAATTTGTTTGAAAAATGTCTTCTTAAGGATAGTACGCAGATGTATAACAACCCCACCCGACACCTTTTTTTCTTTATGCCCTGCTTTTCAGTCTCACTCAAAAAGCTAATTACCATAATCCTTCTCTTCCTAGCCGCCTCTTTCTTCCTCCATTCCCGTTCGGATACATATATCCGATGTAAATGATAATGCTCCTTCTTGTACTTCCGTCGCAACTATGGTGGTGCCAGCGGATTCAGCTCCAACGACCACTGTAGGAACAATTGTGATAACCGATCCAGACAATGGCCCAAACGGAACTGTTATCTACCGTAGCCAACAATCACATCAGCTTTTCGTTGTGAAAAGCAATGG